TCTGTCAGAACCAACCTCGAATGATGTTTGTATTTTTGGGGGGGGGGGATTACCCAGTCCATGTCGGATAAGATGCACGCAGCTTACCACAAACAGCGTTATGCTCGAGAGCAAAGAGGGTATGCAACATCTCCATCCCGATCCACCAGTTGCTGTTGAACCCTGTCAGGGGATTCCCGTCGCTGTCCCTGGGTAAAAAGCTGGAACATCCGCGTTCATCCAGCACCAACTTTCCATCTGGGTGCTGCGTGCGTAGCGCCTGGGTAACCGCCTCCGAAGAGCCGTAAATCTGGGACCCGTCCCACCACGCCGTGTTTGCATTCTTATATCCCGGGCATTTCACATCACTCGGATCCAAAATATCGTCAGGCTGGGTCTTTGGAAGGGTCATAACCTTCCCATCGCCATCTGCCCAAGAATGGCCGTTTGGTGGGATTGGAATATTAAACAATTCGTCGCTCTACGCTCACCGTCAGTAATCATCCGAGATATAGGGTATGTGAGGATTGGGGGGGTTTACATTGTCGTGATTAAACCAATCGTGGATCTGGAACTGAATCCACGCTGCCGCTAGTAAATTCAGGGTCGTGGCGGGGATAAACCCTTTGTCTGGACGACGGGCCATGAACTTGTCGGAGATCATCCTCGGATTTGGGGTCATGAGCTCTTCCTCGGAGGGCTTTTGGCTGTATTTCCGTGGGAAGTTGCGGCCAAAGCGCAAACCGGCGCACCCCATCTTGGGTAACTCGAGAGAGTTGTATTTGCCATCTGAATTTCGCGCCCCCAAATAGCGGTCGTCGGGCAAGGGATCCTCGGCTGCGGTGCCCTGTGCAGACGGAGATGCGTAGCCGTCGTAGAGATTGTACTGCCGCAGCTCGATACGCAAAAATGCGAGGTTGAAGGCGCCAATAATGCCAGGCAACTTAAACCACGGGATGGCCTTGTTGATGACATGAAAGGTGGAGATGGCGAAGCGCTCGGTCAGGGTTGGTTTGAAGGAAGGGAGTAGCTCCTCTGGCTCCTTCTGTTTGGACATCTTGACAGTTACTGCCTTGGGACGCTGTCAATCGGGTAGCGTGATTGAGAGCAGACTTCAAGAACATCTTGCAATCATTCACATGGGAGATGGATCATCCTATATATACAATAAAGCGACGCAGATGAGTGAGATCTGCAGGGGCACGATAATAGTACTACGTACTCCGAAATCTGGACCCTTATGTCTTCTCACCACATCTGAGTCGGGCGGTGCTCCGCTCATGGGGTTAGACACGAATATCTGATTGGTCGACTGGTCAGACTATCACTCCAACTATCATCGGTGGCTTGGGGTACCACGAAGCTGACCGTCCCACTTTGTTACCCTCCCTGCCGTCGTCGTGTAAGGTCAGCGGTTAGCTGCCTGCGCGAGTTGCATTCGCAGAGTCCGGGTGTAGCTAAGAATCAAGACACGCTCAGGAGTCAGACGGTTCGTTGGTGTGGATTGTGCATTTTATCTCGGCAGTTGCGCTAGGTGAAAACCCCACTTCTTGCACCCGTGAGTCTGTGCAGATGTGCAAAAGAGGCGTTGAAGGCGTCCAGTAGGAAGAGTCAGTGGCGTATTGTTGGTTGTTTAATTGGGCTGTTGGCACGGGCCGTTGGCTTGGTTTTCTGGTCCATGTGATGACAAACTCCGCCCCCGGAATGTGCTTAGGCTCGAATAAGTCTACACAGGAAGTAAATTTCAAGAGGGCTGAAACCGACAGGTCACACCTGAACGAAGATGGTGTGAAAGAATCATTAAATTCATAGGTTCGGCAAGGAATCTCGTAACACGACCGCTGAAGGTGTGTAAGGGATGACAGCTATTGGTTACCATCCGGGCAATCACCACCCAAGGCTGACGTGAGAAGATGATCCCATGGGCACCGAGTCATCCCTTCCGTGCAACCATCAGGAAGTATGGGTTGATCACAGGGAACGGCATCAGGCTGCTATGCACATGTTCGGGGATGAGGTAAGGGTGCCAAATATGACCATGACCGTGTCTGCAATTGGCTGCCTCTCTCCCTGGTGGGAATTTTTCCCTCTGATGGATGATGATCGCATATGATAAAAATGAGTATAAGGTGCCAAGATCGCGCAGCATCTCAGTTACACCGGAAGATAGTTACTAAACCAAGTCTTCCGCATGTTGTTGGGGGTGAAACGCGTCAAAATGCGGCTCACAGTTTTTGGCACGTTGCGGGGCCTTCTCCATTTCGGCTCAGGCGACAGAGATGGTGAGATTGCCACGATCAAGGAAGAAGACCACACATACATGAAGGGAAACATTGCAGATCGAGGGCCTTGTCCGGGACTTAACTCACTCGCGAACCAAGGATATCTGTAAGCCTCTCTTAACTTTCCCTATTCTCGAGGGTTATTGACGGTATGTAGTCCACGCGATGGAAAGAACATCACCCTTCCGCGCGTAGAAGCCGCGCTGATGACGGCTTTGAACATGAGCCCTACCCTCGCGCATACCCTGGCTTCGCAGCTGAAACCGCTGCTCCACAAGGATGGCACGTTTGATCTGGTCGACATGCGGCGGCATAATGTGATTGAACACGATGTGTCTTTTACAAGGCTCGATTTCCGGCAGGGGGATAATTACTCCTTTCAGCCAGCCATGTTCGAGTCCATGCTGCGCGATGCTGATGAAGACGGACAGACAACCGTCAAGACACTCGCACAGACGTACCGCCGTCGCACACGCGAAGAGAAGGCCTCTGGGGCATCTGGTCTACCGCTTAATCTGTACTTTGTCAGCCTTGTTCAGACGGTTTCATTCTTGCACACGGCTGAAACGGGAGGAAGGCTGACCAAGGAGGTCATCACTGAGTTTTATACGCAAGAGCGGTTTCCGGAGGTTATTACGAGCAACACGCACACGCGCAGGCTGACTGGGCTGGTTGGTATGACGCTTGAGTTGATGGTGTATCTCATTTTCAGGGTTAAATGATGTGTCAAGTTTAGGTTGACCCGAGTTGAGATGGTATGGTGTGAGCGAGCGTCTCTCTCAACGCATGTGTGTCCGTTTATATTGTTAGCATCAAGCTCTTACTGGGGCAGAATTTGCCATTCTGCCTACTTCTCCACGTGTCCTGTATTGTGAAGTGTAGCGTTCTCGAGATCTAAAAAACATACTGCAATGAGATTTACACTGCGCGTTGTGTAATCATCTGTGGACAAACTTCGTATTAACGCCTCTGCCGTTTCATGCGTAGAAATCTGAGCAAGGTGGGATGTCCAAGCCTGCAGCAACGTTTGTAGCAAGGGTGAACAGAGTTGACGATTATTATTCACTCTTCCCTTCTCTCACCTCCAAGCTTACGGCTTCGTCCAACGCCCACACGAGCTGCAGAACAATGACTGCCTGAGTTGTAGATCCGAGACCGAAGCCATCCGTGACACTGCAGGGCTGCAGACAAAGCATGCTAACGAAACGGCTGTGGACATGACACCCAGCATGGCCAGCACCATAATCCACCGCGCGTAAGACTTTCGGGCGTGGCGATGCCGGAGAGCGGGCAGAACAGTCACGTACAGACGCAGTAACCGCATCATGCAGCTTTGTACTGTGGAGAAGTAGTCGGGACTATTCCAGGTTCCACGCTGAGGCTCTGGGCTGTTGGCTGCTGGTCAGTAGCTATACGCTTGTACTCCTGCTGCTGTAATGGTGACAGTGAACGATATAGTCAGTAGCGTGCTGTTGCTCTATCGAGGTTTTGCTGTCAGCTTGCGACGCGGTCATCGATTCGAAGATGCTGATGTGTCTCGTACCGCAAGTACCCTGATCCCTCTCTGTAGGACCCTCCACTGCCGTTGACGAGAGTGGCTTTCAGTGTGAGGCGGCAGAGTGCTCACAGCTGGTTTCTCAGGTTCGACTTCCTTTGGCTCAGGGAGAGGCCTACGTTGCCCCAGCGCCCTCTTCTCCAGAATTCCTGGACAAAACACCAGGTCTCTCTGGACAGAAGAAACAGACAGCGGGAATGTTACCTACCCGCCTCCCGGTAATAGTTATCCAGCGCTATCTCGGCACTACTAAGGAAGCCATTCAGGATGGCCTGCCGCCCCAGTGCACCCTAAACTCGTCTTCGTGCCATTCCTTGAAGAGACAATCAAGCTAACCCCCCCGCCCAAAAAAAAAAAAGAATTTAAATTTTTTTTTTTTTTATGTATGACGTGAAAGTTCTTAAGCCACGCTTCTGGGTTGTCGTGATCAGAAGTGACGGACAACGGCTCTTCTACGAACATACATAAGGTACCATGGGGACCGCCGGACCGGAAGACATGCTCGTCGGCTACCTGGATCGCCAAGATGACTTGAGTCACGAGTCCTGCAAGGCTCGCATCATGCGCCATTTTACAAAAACCGAATATTGATGATGGAGAATTGAGAGAGCATGGTGGTTGCTTCTCTCACCATGCGCGTCGACGGGCATACCCTTCGGCAAGACTAGGCAGGATCCGGGTGCAGTGTGGCTGTGCACTGCAATTGATGTCGGGCAACTCGAGACAGACGAGTAGCCTTATGCTTGAGGCCTTCAGTTGCATGCAGCTTGCTACGCCACCACCAAAAGCAATCCAATCAAGGGCGAAATAGGGCCGGCCTCTGCGTGTGGCCATCACGGCACCATTGTGGGGGAGCCCTGCATTTCAACGTGAAACCAGCCCGACTGACAGGCTCTTGGGTCCGATTTACGGGAGTTGCAAAACCTCACACCGTATGCAGGCACGGCACACTAGCAGGACATCAGACATGTATACATGACGTAATTAAGGCAAACTAGTAGGCTTTCTCAAGGATATAGCCGTATTGTGAACACCACCTCTTGCGCTGTTTAAACTGCGCTAGACAGAAAAAAAAAAGGATAAAAAGAGAAAAAAAAAAAGAAGAAAAAAAACCCAAGCAGGAAGGAAGCTATGCCCTATGGAGCTCGTGCTCAAATCGAGAAGGAGCCAAGAGAAAAAAGGAGCACCCTACGTGGGACTCGAACCCACAGCCTTAAGATTGCGATTACATCTCGTAGAAGTCTTACGCGCTACCATTGCGCTAGCAGGGCTGGTCATGCGAAGGAGTCCAAACTGTATCCTATCAATGCTGAACGTGTTTCCGATGTGTGATTAGCGGAAGAATCGACTCCTATAGGTATCCATTGCTTTGCAGAACACTCTTGTGCAACATCCCGAGGCATGCACGAAAGCTAGAATCTCAATTAGAGAATTTAAGCATATTAATGTTCAGACCTGAATACGCTAAGGGAAGCTATCTAAATAAAGGAACCTTATCGCTGGTTTCACTACTACATAGTAAGCACCTCACGGCGCAAGATAGATTAACTGGTTATTGTTTCACTACTAATGCCACCACACAGGTAAAACCGACTGCGGTGAGAACAGCACTGAGATCACTGTCAGTCTGATGATGCGGACCTTGCAGGGCTTTACGAAGCCCCATGTCTCGTGTCCTCAATCAATTCCGGTTCCTATCTGCTGACTATAGCGTGGCGTGACTGTAGATTTAGTCTACGGATTATACCATGACCTTTAGCGTTGTGACACGCGAACGAGGCTCGGCAAAATAATAGAACGTCTGAGCAAAAGCCCAAGACAGACGCGAAAGTTTGGCATTTGTATCAAGCAGACTGGATACATAGATTCCGGGGGAGAATGATAGGGAGCATTTACAGCACCTTTTGTTTAGACGGTACCTTGCTGTGTACGACGACGAGACGGTCTCTGAAAGTGAAAGAGAATGTAACGAGCTATCCACCCGGAGAATACCTCTCCTCCAGGACTACCTACTCATGTTAGCCTAACCCGACCCAGACCCCGGAGGCCTGAATCCCTGGCCAGATTCGTCATTACTGTTGTGCGGTATTCAACAGCACAGCCTATGGATAGTGCTTTTCTCGTAGTCATCGGTACAACTCGGATGGGTCATTGTGACAAAGCCTAGCTTGGACAGGGAGTAGGGAGAGAGGCGGAGGGAGGCGAAACAAGTGAATAGGGACATACCAAGGGAAGGAAAAGGGGACAGGGGGGGGCCGTGAAGATCCTGCCAAACTGCGCGACCGGACCTACGGGCGTGAGGGTGAACCTAGATGCATGAATAGCATACCTCCTCGAGAATGAGAGCCTCGCAGAGAGTCATACAATTTCCTATCTAAAGTAAGAAGATGCGGCTTATGTAAATAAAACCTTCCGCGAGAGGCGAGCGCTCGTCAATTGCCTCAATTATTTCAAGCTAAGCTCATCACGGTCGCGGAGTCAACAACGCCTTTCCTGACGGTGTGGAGGTTGCATCCCGACCGATTCCGGCGAAGGATTTAAAGTGTGGCGTATGTCAGCTTTTGGCGCCACTCAACGCTCTGCTGACGAAGTGCGCCAGCATACTTGGGCCGGGCGTTGCCCCCCCACATGAAACGGCAATTCTCTTTTCTCCCATTCGATGGTTCTGCTGCCGTGACAACCATGTCTCTCACCGAGAAATATTGTCAGTGTTCTTTTCTTAGGTCGGAGCCGTCCGTCGAGACCGGAACCCACGGCTCGCTTCCTCGACTTCCAGCCACTTCCATGGTTCCGGACACCGACCGAGCGTCCTGGCAGCACCCGACCTGAGGCTCTTTCCTTACCGCTCATGGCGGTTTCCGGCAGCTCCTTAGTCACCTCTTCAGAGACCAAGGCTGATCGAGGACGCGTTCAACGCGAAACAGATTCTGTTGCGCGACGAGAACGAAACCGAGGCATCATTCCCCTTGCTTCTTTATCGAGAACGAGGCGGATGGTTGAAGTTTGCTGGCACCTAGTCGATGCGCTGTCTTTGCAGGAAACCTGTGCTGCGGTTTTTGCCAGACGAGGCTACCAGTGGACTTCAAGCAGGTGTTGACTCACCGCCGAGTCACCGGGAGCCTCGTCATTTTTTCTCTTGGTTTTCCCTGACGCTCAACCACGTGGGCGGGGCTTGCTGGGATGCCTGCAACCCCAGCGATAGAAACATTGCCCACGAAAGATGAGATGAGGCACAGCACAAAGAATGCCAATTCCGCCTTGGGCCTCTCGATCACAGCAGGGACAGATCAGTGCTGTTCTAGCACTTTATAAATCCCCCGAGTTCAATCCGAAAGGCTTGGTTTTCCTAGAACATTCGGGCCATCTTCGCCAATTGAAACGTAGTCTCACTTATAATCGGTGTCGCCGCCATTAGCGGTAGTCGCAAAAGGCTAGCTGAACTGTAAGGCGTCCAATCTCAGGTGGAATTCTGGGAATGCGAGTGTAAAGACGACATCTGTCCACCAGGAATCAGCCACACATGGGGCGCTCGTCTTTGCCCACAAGCCTAAGCACTTCTTTGGGCTGCATCAGAGGCTGAGTATTATATTGTTTCTACCCAAATTTGAAGGGACAAGCCAAAGTACGGTGTACCTGAGGCTTGCGGAGCTTGCAGTCATCTAGCTAGTCGTGCTGAGGGCAAGCCAAGTATCTTACAGGCGACACCTCAGGCTCTAAGAACTTGGGTATGTATCATGTCGTCGTCACTCAGGCGAAGATGAATGTGAGGCCCAAGTTGGGCCAACTGGCTCAACCTAAAGTATATTAAGAAGGTAAGTATGTACACCAGTGCAACTTGGTCGTATCACTGAACTTTTTGTCTCACCTTTTTCTTAACAACGACGACAGGGTATCTGAGACCAAGGCATGGTGGGGCATCAGCAACAGGGCAGGGAATCACCACCATTGGAGGAGGAGGAGAGCACTCCTGCCGGGACCTGGGGCCTGGCGGGGTCCAATTCAGGAACCCTTAATTTTGGCACCTACCCCGCCTACTCACACCCTGCCCCGCACCTTGCTCAATCTGATTATCATGCTCCTCCAACCCAATATCCAAATACCTTTCAGGACCATCAGGCGGTGTATGGCAATCTTCAGTATTTCCATAACGCCGTGTCTTTCGGATATCAGCAAAACGCTGCGTCATTCCCGGCTTGGCAGCGTCAAGCTGTTCAAATAGAGCCAGCATCACCACCAGCGCCGCCTCAGTTCATTACGTCGAGCCTCAGCCAAAATGTAGACCCAACATTCGGGAACTTTGCAGTAGCGGTCGAGGAGTTTAGCGCCCCGGTCAACTCGCAAGGAACGGCGCCGTACGGTTACAATCACGCACATCTTCCCAGCCCGATTCAGCCCTCTACCGACGATGCCACTTCGTATGGCCTTGAGGTAGATTTCAAGAATGTTTCTCGTTTGTACACAAACGAAGCAAGGTTCGTCAAGATAGGTCCCACCATGGAATTGGCGAGTATTAACAGACAGCCTAACAGCGGCCCACCACCACCCGGCACCCAGGGGTCGCAACCCGCCCCCGAGGCAAGCAGCTCGACTCAATTCAGGTGTCAAGTCTGCCAAGAGTCATTTGCCTCCCAGAAGAACCTGCAGCGACACTCTACGTGCAACGCGCACATCAGAAACGAGCGACAGTCTCAAAACGGAACGCAGAGGGCACACGTGCCCAAGTACGTCTGTACCTGCCTCTACGACCAAGCGCGCAAAGACAACTACATACGGCACCTGAATAATTGCAAACGAGAGTTTGAAGGGACATATTACTATCAGTGCAGCTGTGGCGAAGAAAGTGGTGACAAGGGGGCGCACAAGAACCACGTGAAATATTGTGGTCTCAAGAGGCCGGGACCGAAAACGTCTTGAAGCCGTTGACCATACCACATGGCCAACGAATACACTTGGCGGACGTCGAACGTTGGGTGTTTGTTTCTGAACGACAGGGGAGGAGGTCATGATGAACGACAGGGATGATGAAGAACAGAGAGAAGAGACACAGTATCATGTACGAATGTAGACGAGAGTTGGACACCGCAGAACACTGGCGTTAGAATCCATTTCCCATTAGATCCCCCCTTTCTGCTCGTCCCACTTGTGCTGTTTTTTCCTGACCCATGAGAGTACGTACAAAGTATGTAGGTATGCACGCCCAAGAACCGGCCGGAAAATCTGGAGAAACCCCCAGATTCGGGCGCCATACCAATATCGAGTTGCACCTTGGGGCTTGATCCAGGGTTACATGACCGGGTCATCTGCCTGGGACTAATTAGCGGCATCGAGCAGCACGCCCCTGGATCAGCACCCCCAAGGCTCCGAGATGCATCCGGAAAGAAGCTTCGAGTCAGATATGAAGAACCCCACCCACATCTCCAGATGGGACCCGACCTGCCTGCCGACTTTGCTTATGATCCACCCACGACACGGGGAAAGGCAATTAGATATGGGACAGGGGATTTATCCGGAACGCCTAAGGACGGAGGGGCACCATGCGAGCATTACTATAAGCAAATAACTGCCGCACCATCATTTTCCTCTGATCGCCTCTACAAATTCCCACTCTGGGGATTTTTTTTGTCAAATGCTATATATCGCTCGGCTCAATTAAAGACGTCATCTGTTTCACAACCCTCTCCGCTCCCGTTCATCAGGAGAAGATGCGCACGGCACAGACTGTATAATTCAGCTCTGTATGTACTCCTCAACCCGGAAATCGGGCTCCAAAAGGCGGGAGATATTGTATAGGTATGGAGGCAGAACAGATTAAGGAGCGCGGAGAGCGACTGCGAAATTCTGGGTTCCGAGCAGTGTACTTTACAGCCCGCCATTATTTACTTCTGTGCCGATCGCAAGCCTTCCTTTCTAGAAGTCTTAATGGGATGCTGCATACATATACGCTGTGCACTCAACATACTCTAGGCATCCCGTCTGCAATCTTTGAGCGTCTCCCGTAAAACCCGTTTTAAATCTCCATTTTTTTTTTCTGTCGGCAGATTCGTTCATGATGTTGACAACGCTCGCAACCCTCGCCCCTTTATTATTATTCTTCATGTCTGTGGCGGCGCATTCGCATATAGACTACCTCATAATCAACGGCCTGGTGTACGGCGGTTTTGACCCGACAGGCCGCACCGCGAACCCCCCTTCTGTCGTGGGGTGGTCGACAACGGTAGAGGACGACGGCTTTGTACCCCCATCGAACTATTCCACCCCAGACATCGTATGCCATCGCAATGGCTCCCCTGCCAAGGTCCACGCGCCCGTGAAGGCGGGCGACAAGATCCATGTACAGTGGAACGGGTGGCCTGAATCACACCGTGGGCCGGTCATGTCCTACCTTGCGCCGTGCACAGCGGCAGACGGCGGCTGCGCGAGCGTAGATAAGACAAAGCTGTCATGGACCAAGATCGATAACTCCGCCCCGGCGCTGCTGAATTATACCGGGGGGCTACCAGGGCTGTGGGCTACGAACGTGCTGATCGGGAGCAACAACAGCTGGTTAGTCGGCATCCCAGAGGGCTTAGAGACGGGACCGTATGTCTTGAGACATGAGCTGCTGGCATTGCACTATGCAGCCAGGCCGGACGGCGCGCAGAACTACCCACAGTGCCTCAACCTTTGGGTTGAAGGACGGGACACAGGGGGTGTTACAAGTAATAGTGGGGGGTCAAATGAGACAGTATTGGGGAGCAAAGGGATACCGGCGGTGGGAATGTACAAAGCGAATGACCCCGGGGTGGCGATCGATATTTATGCGAAGACCTTGACAACGTATATCGTACCGGGGCCAACGGTGGTATCGGGGGCGCAACCCGTGCCGATGTCAATGCAGGTGCTGAGTCTGCCGACGGCAGCGGGGACGCCAGTCGTGGTGGTTTCTGGGGCGAAGACGCTGCCGTTCGTGATGGAGACTGGGGCCATGTATTAGACCCTACTGACGGAACTAGATGGAAGTGTGTATAGGGGCATGAATTTCAGGCGTTATGACTTATGGACGTTGACTTATCTTCCTTGATATGATAATTAAGGTGTTGAGTCACAAGAGATTGATTGTACCGAATGACTTCTTCCAGATCGCTGTTTGCATTTACTCATACATGCTCGCTTAACTTGGGCAAACTCGTGAGAACTGAGACTTGCACGATGCCGTGTCTAACTTTGGAGGATAACAGAAATAGCCAGCCACAGCTTCAAGTAATGCATAGAGGTCACTGGCGTAACCAATATGATATAAGAAGCTCGGATGGTGTAGTGGTATCACGTCAGTCTCACACACTGAAGGCCCTCAGTTCGATCCTGAGTTCGAGCAATGGCTGGACCCCGTTCCCGGATATTTTTTTTGCAGCATCCGGCTTCATATGTTACTTCATGTAGCCGCACATTGTGTAATGCGCCTGCCACTATTCCTTACATCGATGTCGATAGATTCACGTCATTAGAACAAGGGCCACTTGAGTGGCTTAACAACACCAGCTGGCCCTGGATGCCCAGGCTACTGGTTAAGAATACATTGACTTCTCATGCATGTCACTAGCACAAGTGCTGAGGCGGGGCTACTGATTGGGTGCAATGTGTTTCATACCCTTTCAGGGTTCGAGCTGGATGATTACCTGAGTTAACTTGGCGGAGATCTGCGTATGTCTCTGCATATAAATCCAGTTTTTGTTTCACCAAGGTAACTAATTAAAAAACGCACCCTGTCCTGCGACGACTAGTATCAAGTAGGTAATCCCGCTTACCAAAGCAAGCATCAATCTTTGCGTTGCGGGCACTGTGCGTTGTAACATGTCGTTTAACTTGAAGTTGATATGGTTGAGGTTTAAAAAAGCCTTCAAACCCCCACTTTTATACTGCGTGCTCAATCAAAATGTCATCAATTCATGTGATAACCTGGAACTCCTGCTTGCCTGCTGTGCAAGTGTGCGGATTGCAGCCTGAGGCTTGGCAAGGCGACGGAAATGGCGCACGCCAGATCTGCATCGAGCTTAGATCTGCATCGAGCTTAGATCTGCATCGAGCTTAGATCTGCATCGAGCTTAGATCAGCTGGGTGATGTCTCACTTCAGCCCTAGACGAAATCTCTGGCTCCAAGTTTAGGCAGCGCTTAATCGCGCCTACTTGACGTGTCGCCGCGCCTCAGCTTCGCATAGCTGGCATGCTCTCTCATCCCTTCATCCCTGTTTGGAATCTGAGAAGCACCGACATGTTCAACTTGTTCAGAAAGAAACCCGAATATCCCATACTGATATGTGGGCTGAATGGCGCGGGCAAAACTGCGCTTCTCAACAAAGTCAGCGGCCACAGCGAGGATGCAGTGCTGGCGAGGCCTCGGGGTGATAACAATGGCGGACATCATACATCTGTGTCAATTGATACCTGCGGTGTTAAGCTGACGTTCTGGAGCCCGGATCGAAGCGACCGTAAGACAACCCATCGCAAGGCCTGATTATTGTATTGTTGAACTGACACCTCGTAGAAACACTAGAGCACGAGTTGATAAGGGATATTCTGAAGAGTGGTGACTTTGCGATGCTTTTCATCCACCATGTTACCAACCCCCGCCTCGAGGATTCCGTCCAGCATCTGCATTGTATGATTCACATGCTGCTTGAGTATGGTGGGCGGGGGGTTTGGGTCGTGCTTAACAAGCATGACCTTCCACCGGAGGGTCAGGAGTCGGTCGTGGATGTTGGGTGTTTGACAACCCGGTTCGGACTGGAATTGAGCCAGTATAAGGGCAAGTTCAGGTGGACCGTCCTCGACCTCCCCGGCTTTTCTGCACGCTCGGGAGACAAGGTGCAAGATCTGCTCAAGGCACTTGTCAGCGAATTAGGCCAGGCTCCTGGCTATCAACCCCCCGTGACAGATCCTGCACCGGATCTGACCGCAATGTCTGTTGAGGGCCGAGAAGAACTACTCAAACAGGTACGGACGGCAAGAGATAGTACGGAAGCCGAGACATTTTGGGACGCATTTCTTCACGGCTCCATAGTCCCATGGAGACATCGTGACTATTTGCGGGCAGCATTCCTTACGCTACTACGACCAGAGCACAGAGACTGGGGCCTTCCGGAAGAGGCTACCGAGTTTGCAGACCGAATACACAGGGTTAAGCAAAGGGGCGTCCTGTTTCGGCTGCAGCCTGAGTCTCGGTTGGTCTCCCCTAGCCGTATTTGATGTTTGTTGGCTAACAGGACAGGACGATGACGGTGTTCTGGCTGTACCATGTCGAGTTGGCCATTGAAGCCTACCACCGACAGCTCCCTCCCGCGCAACAAGATGTCATGCTCGGGCCAGACGACTTCCAGGCTGTACTGCAGCACATGCCTGAGCTGTTGGTCGAGAAGCTGCCGGAAATCCATTACAGCGCTGATCTGCTACGGTCGAGAGATGCCCAGAACTTCTGGACTCTGCCTGACCTTCACCGACTGGCCGAGCTTCCACCGTACCCGGCTGCGGTGGACCCACAGTTCGGACAACAGCTCACCCGGAAACAGCTCGGCGGTGACCCAGAACGGCTGCTACGGCATGCTTTCGCGGTTGTACAGCGATGTCGTTATGATAGCGGGGACCAGAGGCGAAGCTGGTTCCTCAACCTGGCGTTTGCAGCGCTACAGCAACATACCATTCGCTTACGGATAACGGACCCGTCCATCGAGCCGTACTCGGTTACGCAGGCATACCTCTACATCGCGCTCGTGCACGCCGCACTCGCGCATTTCGACGAGTACAGGATACGGCACATGGCGTACCCGGCGTTCAAGCAGCTGTTCCCGCTTCTGGCGCCGACTGTCTGGACGAGATACTACTCTCCCAAGTTATGGTACAGCGTCGAGGCGCGGGCTGCGTTTGTGCCACCTGATCTCAGGCCCCTGCCAGACCGGATTGATGCCCGCCCTCCTCCTGTCGACAGAGCGATGAATGGGAACAATTGCTCCAGTGAAGCATTCCGCAGAAGGGGGCACGTGCCGGAGATCCCTCCGGCCGAGGTGCAGCAGTTCCATCTTGCCGTCACCCTCGAAGAAGCCAAGACGGCCCCCGTGGAGAGCAAACACCCGGTGTCCATGGAGATGCAAAGCCATGGGCACCTGATACGGTATATCCACTCGCGGATCGCCAGCCACGGAGAGGAAGAGGAGAGGGAGGAGCAGGCTCGCCAGGCGCTGTCTGCACTGCTGCGTATCGTCACCGAGCCCAGTCCGGAAAAGTACCTGCGATCAAGCACGCAAGCCATATTCTGGGTGAACCAGGTCCTTCACGGAGTGAGGCAAACCAACCTGCCGCAGGACCGGCCTGGATGGCGGGCGCCCACACCCGCCGCTGGTGCGGACATCTTCAGGCCTAGCTATACTGACAATGAAGGGAAATGGCATAGGTTCCATAACTGCCCGTGCCATGCAGACGAGGAGATGCCGGACGGGGGTATCGGCCCGGACGCACTCAACTACCCGCATGACTTTCCCTCCGACTATCCGCCACGGCTTGGCCATGGATGCAATTGTCACCAGGGCCTGGAGCTGGACGAGCAGACCATGGCTAAGTATGTAGAGCTATGTGCAGCCGTCTATCGCCAGAGGGAGGAATATGAGAAGCAGGCTACCGGTGTCATTGCGGGTGCAAGGATGCTGAGTAAAGACCCTTGGGAGGATTTCATCCGCTTCAACCCCTTACTTGCGTGGGAGGGACTGTGGGGGGCCTATTACTCCTCTGAAGGATGGGGGATTGGGCAGGATAACCAGCGGAAGTGGATAGCGCCTTATCGACAAAGGATGAGCGTGCTTGTGTTGCCCGACACAGCAGATGGTGACAGGAAGGATATAGTGCAGGATAGCAAGGAAGAGGACAAGGAAGATGGGACAGACGAGGGAGTTGCTGTAAAGGAAGAGTCCGGTCTAAAGCAGCCCGAGGATGACAGCAAAAGCATAGATGAGCAGACATCGTCGGGCATGGAGGATAACGGGGACGAGGACTGGGAGTTTCTGGGGCGGGAATGAGCCACTCGCTTCAACAGCCGAATGTCAGAAAAAGAAGGCATCGTCAGAAAGATTAGACGAACCAGCAACCCGAACTCAGAGGGTAAAACACTACGGAGGACCCTACCAAAAGTCTTGACTGACCGCCCTTTTTGTCCGGCAGAATCGATACACTAAATGATAGCGGACATGATCACTATCAGCGCACGTCCATCACTTTGGCCAAGCGCTTCGAGTGCTAACAGCTGAGCAGTTAGTGAGGAGCGTCACATACATACCACAGTAGCTCTAGCGACAGGAAAAGTCCGTGCGTGAGAGCGGTCAGTAAGGTCTTTTGGTAGGCCGGTGCGCTCAGGGGACGACGGACGGCACTAAATCTGACGGGCCGTTTTGCTCACAGGCCGCTATCAGCACGTGAACGCGCACTGTAGACCTAAATTGAGACGCGTCTCAATCGGTGAATTTGCAGGGTGTCTATTTCCATTCCTTCCCCCGCCCTCAGGGACACTCTCTACATTGGCTTTGCGGTTTCGGATGGCAGCCCGTGAACTAAGTCATACTTGCAAAGGAGGAGGGGAAATGTATACGATTTTTTCGAAGAACATAGCCTCAAGTCAATGCCATTGCGACTTCTTTAATTTTTGGATGCCCTGCACAGGAAACGCCACGAAATCCGTGCGGCCTGTTTGCTTTTTCCTCAGGCCAGCCATTAGCTCTTTCCCCCCTAACGACTTCCACAAAGGTTCCGCACGGTATCGTCAATCAGGAAGGTGCATTCTCCCACGTCGCAGCCGCCAAACATGGCGGAATACGCCTACCCCTTCGACTTGTCTTTATACTCTACTCCGATCCCTGTGCCCGAACATTCTCCAACGGTCGCATACGATTTCCAATACCCCTCGTCAGGCGCACCGCCCGGCGCAGCGACACCAGCTCCGCTGGAAACCTATACTCACGTCTTCTCAGCCAAAAAGAGCAAGCGAAAGACGAGTCCGAACAAAGGAAACAATGGAGGGGCCTTCCGATCTGTGGAAACGGGGGACAAGAGGCAGAAGCAAGAGGTTGACGGAACGGTTATCGTGATTAGCGACGAGGAATCTGGAAACGAGGGGGGGCTGAGAGAGGAGTTGCATTCGAACGGGGTAATGCAGCCAATCACATGGGGTTACGAACCGCCGTTACAATATGCTGCAAACTTCTCGTTCGGTCCTTCGCCTGAACCTTCACAATTGTCGCAGTTGCAGGAATTCGGCGCGGCTTTTGTCCCTCCAATGGATCACCACCTGGGCCTTCCAGTCCGAACACGCGAGGGTAGTTATATGGCAGCGGGGCCGCC